TATAACGTCTTCTACGTTACTTTATTAGAGCTATATTCTAGCCGGAAGAGTAAAGCGTAAGAGGAGCGTATACTACTCGTAGTCGACGAGGATAGGTAGTAGGAGGTTAAAGAGATTCTTAATMAGWGGGTATAGAAGGGCGAAACGTTTTATTTAGTAAAGTAGCRTAGATAGCTATTAGAATATAACTAGTAGGAACCTAGTATATATATTAAAGACTACGAAGCTCTCGATAGGTTCGAGGCGTAGGCTCCGCGTATACGTAGAGGCCGCGTAGTAAAAGAGGCTCGGAAGTAGAGCGGAGCAAAATAGAAGAAGAGTAATAAGAATTAAGTAGTTTTATTACGRTTAGACCTAAAGGGGATTACTTTATAGACTATACTATAAGATAGGCGTATACGCTACGCAAGCCTAAAGAACGCGCTAAGCACTTTACTCGAACTTATTCTCCTCCGCCTCGGACTCCTCCTCGAATAGCTCGTTTCTAGTAAGGGTAGCATCGAAGGTATTAGTAGACTGCCCTATTATCTCTAACTACTATATAGACGGTTAGTATTATAAACGTATACGAGGAGCAGGCGAGATACTTACGATACGACCGACTTAAGTAATAGCTATAAGATTGTTCGTTAAGCGAGTAAGATTAGGCGCCTCGACTACGCTGCTCTTACGCCGTACACCCGAGGTAGGCTCGTTAATACGGATCTAAGTATCTAACTTAACACTAAAGGTGTTTACCGCCGCCTTATAATTAGCTTCCTTCTAACTGCCCTTCTGCTTAGTAGCATCTACTAGATTAAGCTCTTAGGCCGTAGTAATAACGCTATCGTAGCGTAGGCGTATCGCTACCGGCACGGGTTTATACTTATAATAATTGTTCCTTTAAGGGAAGTTAGCGCTACGTAAGAGGGGAGTAGGCGTCTCGAATACTACTTAGAGATCTATAGATATAAGCCCCTTACGGATAGTAGCGGTAACGTATACGCCGCGTAGTAGGAGACTTATTAACCCTCTTATCGAGTAGCGGTCGTTAAGGGAATTAAACCCTCGCCCTTCTAGGTACGGCATTTAGCCTACTAGAAGGAGGATAAAGTTCCGAAAG